ACTTTCATAGACCAACCCTCTCCTGGGAACACCATATTGCTCACATCTCCCGACGGTCAATTGGTACCTTGAAACTATTCCATCGCTTCCGCCATCGCCTACCCATTCCCACACGTAGACTCCTAGTATCTTCCCTCACCTTGATTACGGCTGCGTGGTGTACGGTGGCCTCCCCGCAGAACTCGGGGAGAAATTGAAAAGAATTATGAATGCCTTCGTAAGATTTGTCACCGGGACCCTGAGGCGTTCCTAGTGTTGCCCAAAATCGGTCTTGGTCTTGTACTTTGCAAAACCAAGTGCTATAATGCTTAATTTATTACTAGTATTTTAGCTATTCTTTATTGTAATAGGTCTTTTGGCCAGATTTATTGTTAATTTATATAAACAATATCGTTAATCTTAAGGGATCTAGTCCCAGAATAAAGATGATTTTCTATTTCTATTTCTAACAAAAGAGAGGACAATTATGCTTTCTTAGACCAAACCCTTCTTGAGAAGTACAAAGATCTCGGTTGTAACATGTCACTCAAGATTCACTTTCCTATTATAATAGGACACTATCCTGAAAAATATTTTTGTTCTTGTTCATCATTACCATCCGATAAATGGATTTGTAGTTATATGAAAAAAACTGACTAATAGTGTCAATTTTGGGAGAGTGAAGGCTGGTTTTTCATGAATTAGTGGATTTTTCATCCATCAAGCAGGTAAAAAGTCTTTTGATTCTTATTCCTGACCCCAAAACAGAAAAACTCCAGTGAAGGACAAAACTAAGATATATAAATAATGTAATACAATTGCCCTTTTTTGTTCTAAGGAGAAACTAACATCTGAAAGACTGGTTTGGATGTGGAAAGCACTCAACATACTTCAACGATTTTAAATTTACCATAATTTTATTAGCAATCTAACAATGTAATTATATATACATCCAAGTATATTTTCTTAGGAAGGATATGGTTATTTCGGTAGTCGGTTATTAGTAGTAAATTTTTTTTTTGTTGAATATTCTTGTCGCTAAAATGATAATATTTACTTTTTTCAACTTACGTAGTATGGTCAACGAGTTCGTGAGTTTTCCTTCTTTTAGATCTTCACCCTGTCACATAAATATTTTATAAACGAAAATTAATCATTATACAGTATATGTAGGCAAAGACAAAATAGTTCAGTACCTTTTTCTCCGCTGTCTGTCAATTAATTTTCTTTTTTTGTTTAGTAACTATTGGCGTTCTTTAGTGTTGTCAATAAAAAAAAATAATGGAAATAGTGTATATAAATAAAAATATAAATGTTCGTTTGCTTAAAACCGCTAAACTCCGAAAGATCTTTACTAATTGCTCAGAAATTTTAATATAACGATTGCAACTAATTCAGGAATGATTTATATTTATTTCATTACGATCTGGTTGGCTACTTCTCCAAAACGAAACTAAAAAAAAACTAACGCTGGATTCAGAATTTCATTTGCCAAAACGGTGAAACTCAAAAAGTACACCAAATGAACTGTTTTGTATTGCAAGTACATATAAAAGTATATGTTCTCAGATATACAATGAATATAATACAAACGAGAGTAGAAAAAAATATTTGCTAGATTCAGATATGTTTTTCTTAAATTTTCGATAATTATGATCGAATTTCGATCACTCGGCGAACACTAGTAAAAAAAATCTGGTACGCGCAACACACAACTTTCACTTACTCTTTGAACTTTGCTCAACTTTGAATAGAAATTATTTTCTGGCCATGTTGGGCTATTATAAAAATTTTGAATTGCATTGAATGAACTGAGCTAAAGCTAAAAGATTGCAGCTAAAATAACAAAAGTCCTATTTATTATATAACAGGTTGATTAAGGATTGTACGATTCGTTGATTATGGATTGTTCGATCCGTTGGTTATGGATTGTACGACTATTAGTTATTAAACTTTTATTTTCCATTGCAAAGTTTATTAAAACGGAATTAAGAGATTTGCATTGTCTGTCATAGGCAGGTCAAAAGTTGTCACACTAATGTGTCACTAAAGTGGATTCTGTTGAAATATCGCAAAGGGAAAATTTATCAAATTATTCACTAATTTAATTTTCTAAAAGGTAACATGATGATTTTTCGGAATAAAAGGACAGTAGATACCTAAATATTTAAATATAATATCAGATCTAGAGTTATTAAACTACAGTAAATATATTTAAGATTATAAACGTATCTATGAAATATTCTTATATTTTACTTCTTCTTTCATACAAGTACAATGAAATAGTAGTGGATACTGTTAGAATATCACAAAGAGAAGATTCATCAAATTATTCACTAATTTAATTTTCTTAAAAGTTACATAATAATTTTTCGGAATAAACGTTGATACCTAATTATTTAAATATAATATCAGACCTATAATCGCTAAACGACAGTAAATGTACTTTAGGATATAAATATGTGTTTTATACATCCGTCAAATGATTTTATATTTTACTTCTTCTATCACACAAGTATAATGAAATAGTTTTTTTAACAATGCCATTGCCTTGATTAGGTAGATTTTAATTACGTTACACAAAGGTAAAAATATTTTTTAAAGTTTTCATTTAGTTAGTAAATTTCATTTAATTTCTTTGAAAAGATGCGATTTACGTTAAATAATATCATTTTTCAAAAACTTATTATTTATAATTTTTGCACCACTCTCTGTTACCTTCTACAATTTTCTACATTAAATATGGCTTTTTTTCTAAAATGCTCCTATATCCAACAATATAATATACGTATACCTTCTGACTAGTATTTCTAGAGATTCATTTTCGACCCGGATAAGCATTTATAATTTTTTTCTCCTCTATTCAATTATCAAATTCTTTCAAAAGTTATATTTAGTATTTTTTCGTAACTCTAAATAATGTGAGATGATTAATTATTTAAAGTAAACCATATTAAAGGTACATTAGAGAAAGACGCATATGAACATTGGACATTTAAGCACTGTAAAGTGACATCAACGAGGATAAGACCTAAATGATATTAAAGACCATTAAATTATACCACCTAGTTTAATCAAAATCGTTAGAGCCGTTCCTGAGAAAATTGTAAAAATGTGTTTCAGCATTGATATAAAGTGGTACTTTCGGCTAGCCGATTTTAAGGAAATAGTTGCCAGGACATCTAAGGCATATATCTATCATAAATATGTAATAGCAGTTTCGTACGACTTTTCGGTTTCGAGCTAGAGTGTTCACATACACACAGACCATTTTTCGCGACTTGATTATTTGGACTCAGAGGACCTCAAAACGTGTATTCCGAAAACTCAGATTCAAAAATTTATACGACCACAATACTTACACTTACTAAATATTACATATATAGGTGAGTGAAAGTAATTATGGTTCATCCGAGATGACTTTAAACTACGTAACATTTTGATGTAAATAATTATCAAATTGATATATATATATATATTAATGATAATGAGCTAAAATAATTTGAAGAACCAAAAGCAGGAATTCGGTATAATCAGTCTATTACTGTATATTATTTTTCATGGACTAAAAACAATAATAGATGATTTCATCTTGTACTGTAATAGGTAATAGGTACGAAGACCTATTAAAACTTTGTTGACCGGCAATTTTGATAATTTTTGGTAATGCAACTGCAATGAAGAATAAACTCGATGTCGGTCTACAATAGTGTTGTCCAAAATAGTCTTGGTATTGCACTTTGCTAGATCAAGACCAATATCGCCTAACTGTTGATACCAAGAAAAATAAAAAATAAATCGATTTTTTGAATAAAAATTAAGGCAAAATAATTACTAATACTTGACAATTTTAGTTACCATATGTATAGAATTGGTGGTATAACCAATATACTTTTGCATTTAACTCTACTAATTTTTCATTCAGGCTTAGTTAGGTTCCTCCTATTTATAAAATTACAGTAATATCTCTATAGCTATAAGCTAATACGTAACTGCAAGATTGTTGCGAGACTTTTACGCAAGACCAAAGCTGAGAGTGCAAGACCAAGACTTGTCTTGGTTTCGCATTTGAGCAACACTAGTCAACAACATCTGGACATGAAAAGAGGAGTAAAACTCGTCATCGGTCAACAAGCAGTTAAAAGCAATAACATTAAAAATATTGTCTATTTTTTTAAATTAAAAATTAGTTAATTATAGTATATGAAATTAATTAAATAATTATAAAACAAACACAAAATGATCGATAAACTCTTTAGAGCAGACGTATGGCTGTCGTATAGTTACGGAATGGACTTAATCCGTAACAACTATTAATATTAACTATTATTTAATCTAATAATTTAAATCATTCATTGGCCTTTCTCTTGACCTTTATCAAAGCCCTAGATAGCCAGGTCAAGCTATCTCTGATAGCTTAGAAATAGTTATCCAGAATGTACTGACTGGACAGAAGACACTTATCAAGACTTAGGGAACAATAACCCTTTTCAGCAAAAGAGCACTTTCTCACAGACTTCATATCAATTCTAAAGGATAAGGATATCAATTCTTAATAGATATAACTTCATTCACACGCTTCCTAGACCGACCAGAATTGATTCATCCCCCCCTACTATCCCTGAGCATATAACCCTATGATCCTCACACCAAAATCACTCATACAGTTACATTCTTGAGTCAGACTCTTCACTGTAGGAGGCCTGGAGTGAACTGATGTAGTCAACTCATATATCCATATTATATTACTTATATTATATTTTAGATGCCATTTGTAACATAATGAATAAATCCATTATTTATAAAGTCTCCACTGTCTCCGATTCGTTAACTGTATGAATATACCTAGATTGATGTAATTTTTAATTCAGTTTTTTATTATATTAGAAAAAAAGATATGGTTTCATTCTAAATTATTATACATATGTAATTAATAATCTATCATACTTTATATTACCTGCTCTATCAGCAGAAATAAATTATTGTCACTAAAAACCATGTAGCATATATAATATGTTTACCTTCACATTCACTTGAAGCATATGGAGAAAATAGGTTCCATTAGGATGATCTTCAGCATCAGGATCTAAGAAAAGCACACTATACGTATGACCCTGCAATAAAATGACATTTTATCGGTCATTTATGCAGGCATTTATGTAATAGTTAATTTTTTGTTCCAGCTATTGAAAAAGTAAATCTGCACGTATAAAGTAACAAAAACGTTTAAACCTTTCTTCCAGATGAGAACGAAACTATACTCATAAATAAAAGAAAACACCCTCTTTTATTCTAAGGCTTTAAAGCATTTCAACCGTATCTTTTCCATATAAATAAGCAGTGTCGGTCTCAGGGCGGGGCGGCGACTTAGATAGGCGCTCGTCGAGAGCGCCGATCATCAGGCGCTTACACCACTCGTTTAGGACTTTAAAAAAATATATACAAAACGTTTTAAAATAATTAATTTTAACCTATTGATACAGCTAGTTTAAATGTAACTTTAATTCAAATTTTCACTTGGAAATCAACCGCTTTTAACCGACTTACGAAAGTTGTGTGTTCAGATTAGCTTTATCTGGAATGATTACTAGCTTTAAAGTCCTTCCGTTAAATTAAATGGTTTTCGTTAGAGCAAATAATAGCTCCTAGCCTATTATGATATTGAATTAATTTATCCCTTATTATTTTGTCATTTGTTTACCAATATACTACGCCAATTATTCCCGCAGGCCACCTAGTAATAAAAATATACCTTCATAGATTATTAGTCATATATCCGCAGCATTAAAAAGAAACTCAATAAAATAATACCTGTATTGCTTCGGGATAGATAATCGTGGGTTTCTTTTGCCAATCTTCTATTTCATAAATTGTGTTACAGTTTTCCTTAGACAGTTCGATTTTGCCCGAAGTGATGAGAATACTACGTCCGAAATCGCAGGCGGAATCCCAAACATCATAGGGATAGACGAAGCACAACCCCAGTGGCGCCAATAACAGCATCATAGCCAGCGTGCCGATGAGGATCGCCATAGATATCAATAAGTGGGTTCCAGGGTTCACGTTGGAGTATTTCGTCGACATCTGTAATCAGGGCAGGCATAAAGGTTATATAACAAGAAATATCTAACAGAATCATGAAACTATTACCAAAGCGCCTGCCAAGTATAGTCAGTATAGCTTCCTCGCCGTTTTCATCGGCTCTATATTTCAAGGTCTTTAATTTTTCATTTGAGAATAAAATCTCCATAAGAAACTATTTTCGGAAATACAGTAATCCCTCAACATCCTCAACATTGAGGTGTGGTTATCTCTTATGCTACAAAAAGTCAACCAATGAGAACCATTCTTGCAGCACCTTGAATATTTCGATAATATCTTCTGAGATGCATAGAGGAGAGGTCTTATGTCGCTGCCCGGCTAGAGGAGAGGTCTTATGTAGCTGCCCCGACTGGAGGAGAGTCGGATGTAGAGCCCGGCTTCTAAACTGAGGCCTTGGCAGCGACATTAGACCACATAGATGGGAGTCTTGGAGAAGTTTTAGGACCTGGCCTTGAAAAGATGATCTCAACTTCGCAGATGCAGCGATGGAATCTACCAACTACACCACTTCACATACCATAATAGATAAGTTTTATTCACAACAATTAATTTTAAGGATGTTGGAATATTTCATGGAAATATAAATTCTCAAAACAGTCCATCTGAAATCATGCCTTCACAACCATTGTAACTAATATTTGTTTTTTTGTAAATATAATGTATATATATTCTTTATTTTACAAATTATTAAACACTTTATTCAGAAATATTACAATTTGTCACAGTTTAAGGACACTTATAATAGAGTTCAGAGATTGCATTCATTATATTCTTTATTAAATATAGAAATAAAATAAGTTTGTAAAAAAAAGTTATTTTAATCATCCCACCTATTTATATCATTATAATCATAGGTAATGTTTGGTAATTAGAGAGCACCATAAACACACACCAGCCCTTGCGAAAAGTAATCCAATTAATTAATCATGGACCAAATAGGTTAAAGAACCAATTTTATTTTACTAATTTCTTATTAATTTAATTTTATCAAATAATTCTGGATAATTATCCTTAATAATTATCCAGTGGCATCCTGAATAAAAAATTAAAATCCCAAAGGGGAACATTTCACTATTTTACCAAAATGTACATCACTCTAATTATAAATAAATGCAGGAAATTATAAGGAAACCAAGCAAGAATTTTCTAATCACAACATACACGAAACATTATAAAGGCATGCAGTGGAGGATACTATATCAAAGTGAATAAAATCTATTTTTAGTGTTTATTCATTGTGTTACTACGCTTCCTCTTGAAAGCTACGTAGCAGCACACTGAATACTCACATAATAACATACACACTGAAACACAACGAAAGCAGATCATTTCAGGACCTTCTTCAGCCATGTTGGAACGACTGAAGTAAAACTTTAATGCTACTTAGTTATTATTATTGTGACCACCATATTACTTATATGAACATATATCTCTTTTATGAATTATAAACTTAATTCTTATTTGGTTACACATTATCTTATCCTATTTAACATATGTTTTTGTATATACCTTCCAATTAGCATATTGGCCATCAAGGAAGTGTCGTTCGTACAAAGTAGGAGAGGTTTCGTCATCATCAAACATGATACTGTTTTAGAAATGATTTCGAAATTAAAAAAAAAATATAGTTTTAAATACTAATAAAAAGTTTACAATTAGACATTATCTATAACCTAAACCAATCGGACTAACATCATGTGTTCGCCATACAATGTATTATTTCAGCATATACAGACACTAACACACAAAATCCGAATCCGAATTATTTTGCTTCTTGATAACAGAAGGTTGAAGCATTATCTTTATTTGAATATTTCCTTTCCTTGCACTTTTCCTTTTACTTTAGAAATTAACTGAAAGTTGGTTCCGCGTTTATTTATCTGTTCAACTCTTTTTTTTAACAAATTCATGTGATGGGCTATAACACTTTGAGTTTGATGATTTTCCGGGATTATGCTAGGTCGTACCTAGATTGTTCCATATCAATGTTATCGAATTTCATATCCTGCTTTGCCTATCTATACATAGGCGTGCCCAAAAGGGGGTTTCATGGTGCAAGTTACGCCATCAGAATTTATGAGAGGGAGGGGCACTTCTTACGGGGTTTTCAATTTTTGAGGGGCACATTTCGATGGGGTTATGAATTTTCAAACTGAAATCTTTCAATTTAAAAAACAAGTGGGAGCATAGAGCAGATCGCAGTAGATGTAATTGTGTATAATGTAATAATATTTAAATTCTACTTTCGTTGGTGCTGTTTTTAAGAACAAGATATGAAAAAAATGTGTTCGGAGGGTTTGAGGAAGGTTTCAAGTCCCGCAAAATGGTATGTGTGTGTTGGTTGAGCACTCTACAAAAACGAAATGTTGATCGAACCTGATATTACGCATTTAAGAAAGGTATATGCCTTGAATGTGACATCAACTTTTTCGTTAAAATCGACTGACCGAATGTGGCACTTTTTTTAAATCCAACGGTGATATACATTTTTACAATTTTCTCAAAACGTATCTAACGATTTTGATTCAACTAGGCGTATCATTGAATAATTAAGTGGTCTTAATCATTCAGGTCTTATCTCCATTGATGTCACTTTACAGGGCTTAAATGCCCAATGTTCATTTACGACTACCTCTAAAGTACCTTTAAAATTGTTTATTTTAAAAAATAACTCTCTTTTATTGACAGTAACTATAAAAAATGGCTAAATGTGAAGTTTGAAAGAATTTGATAATTGAATAAAGGAGAAAATACTTCAGGTGTAAAATATTCAGGTATAAAATGAATCTCCCGAAATGACAGTCAGAAGGTATACGTATAATATATCGTCGGAGAGGATAATTCATAAAAAATACCTAATAAATAAAGTTGCAGAAGGTAACGGAAAGTGGCGAAAGAAATATAAATAATAATTTCAGAAAACTAACATTATTGAACGTAAATCACATGTTTCTAAGGAAATTAAATGAAATTTTCTTACTAAATGTAAACTTTCAAATATTTCCAAGTTTGAAAAAAATTATTTAAAATCCACCGTATCAAGCCAATGCCATTATTTAAAATACTATTTCATTTCACTTGTGTGAAAGAAGAAGTGAAATTTAAAAATATGTCATGGATAGGTTTATAATCTTAAACACATTTACTGTACTTTAATAACTCTAGATATGATGTTATATTTAAATAATTAGATATCTATTGGCCGTTTATCATAAAAATCATCAAGTAGCCTTTTAGAAAATTAAATTAGTGAATAATAGTATTTGTATATAATACATAGTATTTGTAGATAATACTTAGTATTTATGGAATTTTATAATCTTTTTTACCTTTAATAATCAAAATGTGATTGGGTAAGAAAGATTAGAGAAAAAAAAATTGAAAAACGCACCATTATTATTCTAAAAGAAATTAATTACATCATCGTTTAGTAGCGCATGTTTCCTCCTCTTGCCTTCACTACTTCTTGAAGACGCCTCGGCATACTTTCCACCAGTCGGGAAATGTCCCTTTGCTGGAGGATAGCCCATTCCTCCTAAAGAGCCCTTTCAAGGTCCTGCAGTGTATCAGGAAGTGTTGCACACGCTCTTATTCGTCTTCCGAGGTTATCCCATAAATGCTCAATGGGGTTCAGATCTGGAGAACGTGCTGGCCAGGCTAAAATCTCAATATTCTTCTGTTGAAGGAACGTCTGCACTATGCGGGCGACATGTGGCCGTGCATTAGAATAGAACGATCGCCGATTTCGTTGAAGATAGGCAACACATGAGGTTCCAAAATCTCATCTACATAGCGAATGACCGTCAAAGACCCTCCACGAACAACAACCAATTCTGTGCGGCGCTCCATTGAAATCCCAGTCCACACCATTAAGGAACCACGTTGGAAAGGTTGGTTCTGGGAAAAATTACAGGCTGCATATCTTTCGTTTCTTCTTCTCCACACCTTTTCACGCCCATCTGGAGATCGAAGAGCGAATCTTGACTCATCTGTAAAAAGTACAGCACTCCATTCGTCCATAGTCCAATGGCTGTGTTCTCGAGCAAAAGCCAGCCGTGTTACTCTGTGAGTTCTGGTCAACTCTGGTCCTCTTCCTGGACGAAAAGCCATTAATCCATACTCATTTAATCTTCTCCGAGCGGTACGTTCAGAAATGTTCACACCTCGAACTTCTTCGAGCTGATGAATCGCTTGAACAACGGTAAGGTGCCGGTTTCGTAAAATTCTCAAAGTCAAAAACCGGTCATCCCGTGGTTCTGTTACTCTAGGCCATCCAGAACCGAGCCTATTGTAAGAACCAGTTTCCCGAAAACGCCTGACGGCGTCTCGTAAAGTTTCATATGGAACTCCGATGGCATTAGCCGCATATCTAATGGAACGTCCATCATCAATAAGTGCCACACCACGCGCAACATCTTCAGCACTAAGAGGCATTTTTAAACTTAATATTGAAAAATTTAAAAGCCGGAGACTAAGAAATGTGCTGCAAGAAACGGCACTGAACTAATGACACTGAATAAACATTTTGATTCCATAGAAAGTAAACATTGGAATCTAGAATCATTTCATTAAATTAAGGATTAAGGGTTATTGTCCTCTATATTAACATTTCTAATTGAAAACAAACACAAAGATTACCTGTTTATTCATTAAAAACAATAGACCAATCCAAAGTAGAAATATTTTTAGATGAAAACATGAAAAAATCAAGTGGGTGGAATTTTTTGCCAGTCAGTGTATATTTATATATTTAAACAATAACTTCGAAAATCTTTCTAATTATACAAAGTGAGCTTACACAAAATGTACGCAACCATAACATGATGAGAATTACAGCTGAGCATATCCAAAACAAATGTCCTTACGCAATGTCCTTGCTGACTTCATTATCTTTTTCAATATATCATGTTAGCCTTGCATGCTCAATTTAATTTTGACATTTATATATTGTAATTATATGTCAAAATTACTTTCACAATTTAAAAATATATAACTCATATTTAAACTAATTTGCAAGAATACACAATCCTTTTACAAACAAAACACTGTTTAAATTCTAAATTATTTTGCGGACACCTTGTATAGTTTTAAAATCTAAATTAAAATAAAAAGTTCACAGTTTAAATTAAAATATCTTCAAAATTTTAAATAGGTTAATTGAATTTACACATACAAAATTTGGTGTTTAAATATTATGAATAGATACTTCAAGTCTGCCATACCAAGGACCTCAATAAGACAAAGATGTGTATCATCAAGAAATTACGATACATACAAGGTTAGATTTTATGTTTCTAAAATTACAAAAAAACAATCCTTGATCTTCTAAAGACTAAATTTTTAGTTTTATCAATAAGTCCATAGGCAGTTAGATAGAGTAGAAGAGAGAGGTAAAGGAAAAAAAGAATTATCATACAGACAATGTTTATAAGCAGTCCTTAAGTCGGGACAAACCGAGCAATAGCCCCTGGGCGCCCCCCTAGAGGGGCGTCCATCGAGAGCGCCGATCATCAAAAGCACTCACCACTTGTTAAGAATTTTAAGAAATATATACAAAACATATAATTTATCCCATTAATAAAGTGACTATAAGAAATTTTGAATTAAATAAAATTCAAATATTACATAATATAAAACAGCTAAAACAACGAATTTTGTTTATTTTTTTAGGGGGGGATGACGTCATTGCCCAGGGGCGCCAAAATTCTAATCCCGGCACTGTTAATAAGGAACAATTTAAAAATATATATCGCTAATGTGCCCCTTCGACAGCAATGCAGAGGAAAATATTGTACATAAATATATGACAGAAACTATTATTCAAGCTAACTTTTTCAATTAAAATTATGTATTTTTGAATTTTATATAAATTAATATATGTAATACAACTTCCTCACCATTGCTAAGCAACATATTTAATTAGAACAGATGTTTTTGCCATATGAATAAATAAATTCATTCATAATCCCTACTGTCACCTTAGTGCTAAAAAAAAGTGCACCTAATGAGGCCAACATTTTATCAGATAAGTTATTTTTGCATTTAATTAATGTATTTAGAACCAGGGACTTTTTATTTCTTTGATACAATGGAACAAGAATTCAGACTAGATGATTTTTCTGAAACAAGGTAATATTGTTTTAATTAAATACTTAAATTCATTTGATGATAATAACATGGATGTTTACTTTCAACCACTTTTTCATTGATCTCAAATACAATACATTTAAGAAGGAACTGCTTTGATCTTATTTATATATGATAATAATACCGTTGAAAAGAAATAGCAAAAAGAGGAACTCAGGCATTCATCATAGAAGACTTATGAACGGCAAAAATCACCTGATCATATCGGTTTAACAGAATATTCCTATCCTTATACGACTTTGAGAAATTATTTCTCTAATGACAGTCGTTTGAAATAAGTTAAGGCACTAGTAAATAAAATAAGAGAAAAGATTTTTTATTTATAAATGTATCGGATTGGAGAACCGAATAAATTTTTTTCTGCGTATAGAAATAAACGAAGTTCGAAAAATTGTTTATACTCAATTTACAGAAGGTGTCGTTATGAAACGGATTATATGTTGGAGGACAAAGAAGGAATACAAAAAAAACAAAAAATGGGAAACGACTTTTATACAAAACGCTCTTTTTATACAGTTATTTAATAAGGCGTTGTAAAAACGACTTTCTTAAAT